TTCAGAAATTTCTTTAAAAAATCCATGATCTTTGCAGGACCTATAGAAAATTACCAGGGATGACCAGGACACTTAGAAAATTATTTAAAAAATCCACGAAATGATCAGAACATTTAGAAAATTATTTAAAAAATCCACGAAATGATCAGAACATTTAGAAAATTATTTAAAAAATCCACGAGATGATCAGGACATTCAGAAAATTATTTAAAAAATCCTCAAACATTATAGGAGCAATAAAAAATTCTTTAAAAAATCCACTAGCATTGCAGGACCTTAAAAAATATTTAAAGAGCATATTCAAGAGCATTTCGGGAACCTTAGCAAATTATTTAAAAAAGTACATCCACGAGCGGTTTGGGATTCTTAGACAATTATTTAAAAAACCCACGAGGATTCAGGACCTTCAGAAATTTCTTTAAAAAATCCATGATCTTTGCAGGACCTATAGAAAATTACCAGGGATGACCAGGACACTTAGAAAATTATTTAAAAAATCCACGAAATGATCAGAACATTTAGAAAATTATTTAAAAAATCCACGAAATGATCAGAACATTTAGAAAATTATTTAAAAAATCCACGAGATGATCAGGACATTCAGAAAATTATTTAAAAAATCCTCAAACATTATAGGAGCAATAAAAAATTCTTTAAAAAATCCACTAGCATTGCAGGACCTTAAAAAATATTTAAAGAGCATATTCAAGAGCATTTCGGGAACCTTAGCAAATTATTTAAAAAAGTACATCCACGAGCGGTTTGGGATTCTTAGACAATTATTTAAAAAACCCACGAGGATTCAGGACCTTCAGAAATTTCTTTAAAAAATCCATGATCTTTGCAGGACCTATAGAAAATTACCAGGGATGACCAGGACACTTAGAAAATAATTTAAAAGATCCAAGAGATGATCAGCACATTTAGAAAATTATTTAAAAAATCCACGAGCATTGCAGGACCTTAAAAAAAATATTTAAAAAATTCAAGAGCCTTTCGGGACCTTTAAAAATCATTTAAAATATCCAGGAGCATTTCTGGACTCTTAGAAAATTAGTTAAAAAAATACATCCACAAGCGGTTTAGAATTCTTAGAGAATTACTTAAAAAATTCACTAGAATTTCAGGACCTTTAGAAATTTCTTTAAAAAATCCATGATCTTTTCAGAACCTATAGAAAATTACCAGGGTTGATCAGGACCCTTAGAAAATAATTTCAAAAATCCACGACCATTTCAGGACCCTTTAAATATTACAAAAAAAAAAAGATCTGGCCAGGACCTTTAGGAAATTTGTTAAAAAATCTACAAGCATTCCAGGACTCCTAGAAAATTATTAAAATATCCACTAGCATTTCAAGACCTTTAAAAAATTATTTAAATTATAAAATATCCACGATCTGGTCAGGACTCTAAGAATAATATTTATCCACGACCTGGTCAGGACCATTAGTAAATTATTTAAAAATGCAAATCCTTTAGAAAATAAAATAAAAATTCACGAGCTGTTCAGGACTCTGGACATTAGATAAAAATCGACACGTAGAACATTCAGAATATTTTATCTACGACTTGGATCTGCGGCTTGGAACCTTTAATATGGAATTTTTTAAATCCAAAAAATTTTTGGAACTGTCCAAAAATTATTCAACAATATTCTGAAAATGCATGAAATATCAACTGTTTGGTCAACATTTTCATAAAGTTTTTTTTTAAATGACCGCAATTAGGACTCGGCAAATAATTTGACAATGTAAAATTAATACTCCAAAAAATGCCGGACCTCATCTCTAAGAAAATGATTAAAAATGATTTCTGAGACGGAATTGGATTTCTAATAAATTGGATTGGATTTCTAATAAATGAGGAAGCTTTTGTAAAAATTTCACTACAATTATCCTTAAAATATTTATGAAAAAAATCATCAGGTCCTTTAGAAAGTTATTAAAAAATACTCCAACTGTCAGGACTCATAGAGAAGCAATTGAATGTTTTTTTAACAATCCACGATTCGAACTCTCAGAAAATTTAGTGTTTATGAATTTCAAATATTTTATGAAATATCCATATATATGGGCCCAAGATGTCCAGAATATTTATAAAAAATGACGAGCTGGATCATTCCGTACCAGAGCGTAAAACTTTAAGACTATTTAGCCCTGCCCGTCCATCCGTCTGTCTGTCTGTCTGTTGTAATCAAGCTAGATCAATCTTTTGTCTCCAGGCAGGTCAAGTTCGAAGATGGGCTATAATGGTTCATAATATCGTATATCCCCCAATCAACGGTTCCTCCCGATAGTTGTTACTTCGATGATGTCAGCCACATTTTTCAATGAAATTCGGCATCAAATCAGCATAACATTCTATGTCGATTTAGCGATGCCCGTTCGTCTATCCGTCTGTGGAAATCACTCTACCTTCCGAAATTTTACTCAAATGTATATTATGCATTCAGGATATTTGGTGTTGAAAATGGACCATGTAGGTCCACGTTTTGTTAACCCCCCATATTCGGTATTTTGATGATTTCAGCGACATTATTCTGCCTATAACAGAAAATTGTTCGTGCAGATCCTCGTCGTCGTATAGCCCCAAAATAACGATACCTCCTGACATTCGACAGTTTGATGATTTCTAGCGACATTATTCAACGGAATTGTTTCAAATTTGGTATTTAAAGTTCGTAATGGTTACAACAGCCCAAGACAGGAAATTGTCTGTGCAGGTCCACGTTTTTGTATAGCCCCCATATGAAGGTACCTCCCGATATTTGGTATTTTGATGATTTAAGCGACATTATGCGCTGGAATTGCTTCAAATATGGCATTTGAAGTTCGTAATGGATACTACAGCCTAAGACAGAAAATTGTCTGTGCAGGTCTAGGTTTTCGTATAGCCCCCCATGTAACGGTACCTTCCGATATTCGGTATTTTTATAATTTTAACGACATTATTCACCGGAATTGTTTCAAATTCGGTATTTGATGGTCGTAATGGATAATACAGCCTAAGACAGAAAAGCAATCCTCGGACCAAATTCTTTCAAAAATCCACGTTTATGGAAGGTCCTTGGACAAAATTCTTAAAAAATATTCTTTAAAAAATCGAGTTTATGGAAGGCCCTTGGACAAAATTTTTAAAAAATATTCCTTAACAAATCCACGTTTATGGAGGTTCCTTGGACCAAATTCTTTACAAAAAAAATCCACGTTTATGGAAGGTCCTTGGCCAAAATTCTTAAAAGAAATTCTTTAAAAAATCCACGTTTGTTGAAGGTCGTTGAAAAATGTTCTTTAAAAAATCGACGTTTAAGGTAGGTCTTTAAAAATTATTCTTTAAAAAATCCACTTTACATTTATGGAAAGCCCTTGAAAAAATAATCCACGTTTATGGAAGGTCCTTGAAAAAATATTCTTTAAAAAATCCACGCCTTGTGGATGGTCCTTGAAAAAATATTCTTTAAAAAATCCACGCCTTGGTGGATGGTCCTTGAAAAAATATTCTTTAAAAAATCCACGCCTTGTGGATGGTCCTTGAAAAAATATTCTTTAAAAAATCCACGCCTTGTGGATGGTCCTTGAAAAAATATTCTTTAAAAATCCACGCCTTGGTGGATGGTCCTTGAAAAAATATTCTTTAAAAAATCCACGCCTTGTGGATGGTCCTTGAAAAAATATTCTTTAAAAAATCCACGCCTTGGTGGATGGTCCTTGAAAAAATATTCTTTAAAAAATTCACGCCTTGGAGGATGGTCCTTGAAAAAATATTCTTTAAAGAATCCTCACCTTGGAGGATGGTCCTTGAAAAATATTCTTTAAAAAATCCACGCCTTGGAGGATGTTCCTTGAAAAATATTCTTTAAAAAATCCACGCCTTGGAGGATGGTCCTTGAAAAATATTCTTTAAAAAATCCACGCCTTGGAGGATGTTCCTTGAAGAATACTCTTTAAAAAATCCACGCCTTGTAGGATGTTCCTTGAAGAAATATTCTTTAAAAAATCCACGCCTTGGAGGATGTTCCTTGGAAAAATATTCTTTAAAAAATCCACGCCTTGGAGGATGTTCCTTGAAAAACATTTCTTTAAAAAATCCACGCCTTGGAGGATGTTCCTTGAAAAATATTCTTTAAAAAATCCACGCCTTGGAGGATGGTCCTTGAAAAATATTCTTTAAAAAATCCACGCCTTGGAGGATGTTCCTTGAAGAATACTCTTTAAAAAATCCACGCCTTGGTGGAAGGCCCTTGAAAAAATATCCTTTAAAAAATCCACGCCTTGGTGGATGGTCCTTGAAAAAATATTCTTTAAAAATTTCACGCCTTGGAGGATGGTTCTTGAAAAAATATTCTTTAAAAAATCCACGCCTTGGAGGATGGTAAAGAAAAATAAAATAATTTCAATCCAGCTGAACATTGCAACATGTTTTTTGTTTTTACTTTTTAGGAAAATTAATATTGCAATCCTCAGAAATTAATTAATTTTTTTTTTCAACAAAGACATCATATAAATACTTACAACAAATCAATCCCATTTTGTTGCACAAACAGACACCATAATTTGTTGACTTAATTAAAAAACACACATAATTGCAGATTTTTAATATTTCCATAAATTCCATTTTTTTATTTTTGTTTGATTCGATTTACAACAGAAAAATATACACAATTATTTGATTTACAAACTAAAAAAATATGATAATGAAATTCCATGTTTTTCCGTTTTCCATCAAATAATTGGAATCTACTCTAAATTCAGTTTTTTATTAAATCTAATATTTTTTTTCGTTTTTTGGTTTATAATATTTTATTAATTTTTCTCTGTTTTTATTTGTTTGATTTTGCTTATAGCCTAAACAATACTCATATTATGTGCCGGGTTTTTTGTTTGTGTTTTTTTTCATTTATTTTTACAAATTAGTGTTTCGATTATAAAATAAAGAAACCCAAGAAAAAAATATATATTTATTTATATTTACTTTTATATTAATTTATTTAATTGCTACACCATATAAGCTGTTCGAACCAAGAATATAATGAGGACAAGAGCTGGAGCTGTCCTGCTTAGCAATGCCTGGCTGCCACTGAATACATCATTGTTTTCCAAGGATAATGAGTTGGCATCGTGTTGCATGTGTTTGCGATCGAAGTTGTTGCCAAAGCTGGGATGGTCGGGGCCTGAAATGAAAAGGGAAGAAAGAAATTTAAAAAATAATTATTTTTAAATTTTAATAATTTACAAAAATAAATAAAAAAATATATTTCAAGGTCCACAAGGCCATTAAATGTGGATTTTTTAAAGAATATTTTTCAAGGACCAAAAGGCCAAGAAGCGTGGATTTTTTAAATAATATTTTTCAAGGACCAAAAGGCCAATAAACGTGGATTTTTTAAAGAATATTTTTCACGGACCTTTCTAACAATAAACGTGGATTTTTTAAAGAATATTTTTCAACAACCTTTCCAACAATAAACGTGGATTTTTTAAAGAATATTTTTCAACGACCTTTCCAACAATAAACGTGGATTTTTTAAAGAATATTTTTCAAGGACCAAAAGGCCAATAAACGTGGATTTTTTAAAGAATATTTTTTCAAGGACCTTCCAAACAATAAACGTGGATTTTTTAAAGAATATTTTTCAAGGACCATCCCAACAATAAACGTGGATGTTTTAAAAAATATTTTTTCAAGGACCAAAAGCCCAATAAACGTGGATTTTTTAAGGAATATTTTTTCAAGGACCAAAAGGCCCATAAACGTGGATTTTTTAAAGAATATTTTTCAAGGACCAAAAGGCCAATAAACGTGGATTTTTTAAAGAATATTTTCAAGGACCTTTCCAACAATAAACGTGGATTTTTTAAAGAATATTTTTCAAGGACCTTTCTAACAATAAACGTGGATTTTTTAAAGAATATTTTTCAACGACCTTTCCAACAATAAACGTGGATTTTTTAAAGAATATTTTTCAAGGACCAAAAGGCCAATAAACGTGGATTTTTTAAAGAATATTTTTTCAAGGACCTTCCAAACAATAAACGTGGATTTTTTAAAGAATATTTTTCAAGGACCATCCCAACAATAAACGTGGATTTTTTAAGGAATATTTTTTCAAGGACCAAAAGGCCCATAAACGTGGATTTTTTAAAGAATATTTTTCAAGGACCTTTCCAACAATAAACATGGATTTTTTAAAGAATATTTTTCAAGGACCAAAAGGCTAATAAACGTGGATTCTGTAAAGAATATTTTTCAAGGACCTTTCCAACAATAAACATGGATTTTTTAAAGAATATTTTTCAAGGACCAAAAGGCTAATAAACGTGGATTCTGTAAAGAATATTTTTCAAGGACCAAAAGACCAATAAACGTGGATTTTTTAAAGAATATATTTCAAGGACCAAAAGGCCAATAAACGTGGATTTTTTAAAGAATATTTTTAAGGACCAAAAGACCAATAAAAGTGGATTTTTTAAAGAATATATTTCAAGGACCAAAAGGCCAATAAACGTGGATTTTTTAAAGAATATTTTTCAAGGACCAAAAGGCCAATAAACGTGGATTTTTTAAAGAATATTTTTCAAGGACCAAAAGACAAAAAAAACTGGATTTTTTAAGGAATATTTTTCAAGGACCAAAAGACAAAAAAAACTGGATTTTTTAAGGAATATTTTTCAAGGACCAAAAGGCCAATAAACGTGGATTTTTTAAAGAATATTTTTCAAGGACCAAAAGGCCAATAAACGTGGGTTTTTTAAAGAATATTTTTCAAGGACCAAAATGCCAATAAACGTGGATTTTTTAAAGAATATTGTTCAAGGACCAAAAGGCCAATAAACGTGGATTTTTTAAAGAATATTTTTCAAGGACCAAAAGGCCAATAAACGTGGATTTTTTAAAGAATATTTTTCAAGGACCAAAATGTCAATAAACGTGGATTTTTTAAAGAATATTTTTCAAGGACCAAAAGGCCAATAAACGTGGATTTTTTAAAGAATATTTTTCAAGGACCAAAAGGCCAATAAACGTGGATTTTTTAAAGAATATTTTTCAAGGACCAAAAGGTTAAAAAAGTGGATTTTTTAAAGAATATTTTTCAAGGACCAAAAGACCACCAAACGTGGATTTTTTAAAGAATATTTTTCAAGGAACTAAAACTTCTCCCTCTCCTTTCAATTACATATCCTAAGTGCTTTTATTTTCACTAACAATATTCTTCCCATTTTAATTCTCTTGGTAATAAAATCAACATCTTCGAACAAAAAATCCCTCAATTCCGCACACTTTTATGTTCGTTGCCATTTAAAAAGTGCGAATATCACAATTTGGATTTTCCCCCTTTCTTTTCAACGACAAGTCTTTCACATGCCAAATCAAATCATTGTCTGATGACATGTCACTTATACGTTTTTATTGTCTCACACAATTGATTTCAGCTGGAATTGTGAATACGTCGTTGCCACGGTAGGCATGACCCAGCGAACCAAATGACAAAGTTTTTCAATTGCGTGTTTTTTTCTATTCAGAAGACAGAAATAAAAGACTTTAAAGTCCATTAAAAATAATTTTTAAATAAATCCACGTTTATCGAAGGTCATAAAAAATAATTTTTAAAAAATCCACGTGTATCGAAGGTCATAAAAAATAATTTTTAAAACATCCACGTTTATCGAAGGTCGTCAACAATTATTTTTAAAAAATCCACGTTTATCGAGGGTCATAAAAAATAATTTTTAAGAAATCCACGTTTATCGAAGGTCATAAAAAATATTTTTTGAAAAATCCACGTTTATCGAAGGTCATAAAAAATATTTTTTAAAAAATCCACGTTTATCGAAGGTCATAAAAAATATTTTTTAAAAAATTCCAAGTTTATCGAAGGTCATAAAAAATAATTTTGAAAAAATCCATGTTTATCGAAGGTCAAAAAAAATATTTTTTTAAAAATCCACGTTTATTGTTTCGCCAATCAGATATCCCTGCTACCTTCGGAATATTGCTCTAAGTTTTATCACATGGTTTGCTGGGTACACATTCAACCATACGTAAATGTGTACAATACACCACTTGGCTCAGATTATTGCTATTCCTTTTCCCATTGTCTCGTTTGTAACGTTAACGTATTGTTATGTCTATATTTGTAATGTTTTCTTTCATTTTATAGTCATGACTCTTTTTGCAATGGAAATTCTTAAATCTTTTCGTAAACTTTGTTTCTCGAGGACTTGCTGAAAAATTGTGAAAGATTTTTTAAGGTACTCTTGCCCAAAAATAGTGGATTTTTTAAAAATATTTTTTCAGAGAAAGCAAATTCACTAAAATACGGAGACGTTTGGATTAAATCTATTTTAAAGATTATTATTCAAAAAAAAAAAAAATTATCAAGGACCAAAATTCGTGGAATTAGTTAAATTTAAAATCGTCAATTTCTTAAATATTTTTTTCTGATCATTAATTTTAGGGGTTGATTTAAAAATTTATTCAAGGCTCCACTGACCAATGTCCGTTGAGAACATTCCAAAAAATGAAATAAAGATTTGGACAGCAAAATGTTCTTTTCAAGGACCAACAGGACCAGCGAAATGTGGATTTAAGAATATTTTTTCCCGGACAAACCAACAAACGTGGCTTTTTTAAAGAATATTTTTACAAGGACCACGAACGAGTGGATTTCTTTAAAGATTATTTCTTCAAGGACCAATAAACCTGGATTTTTAAAAGACTATTTTTTTGAAGGACTTTAAGAGAAATAAACGTGGATTTTTTAAAGGATATTTTTTCAAGGACCAAAAGACCAATAAACGTGGATTTTTTAAAGAATATTTTTTAAAGGACCCTCAGACCAATAAACTTGGTTTTTTAAAGAACATTTTTTAAGGACCTTCAGACCAATAAACGTGGATTTTTGAAGAATATTTTTTCAAGGACCAAAAGACCAATAAACTTGGATTTTTTAAAGAATATTTTTTAAAGGACCCTCAGACCAATAAACTTGGTTTTTTAAAGAACATTTTTTAAGGACCTTCAGACCAACAAACGTGGATTTTTTAAAGGATAATTTTTCAAGGACCTTCAAACCAACAAACGTGGATTTTTTAAAGGATAATTTTTAAGGATCTTAAGTCCAATAAATGTTGATTTTTCAAGAAATACTTTTTCAAGGACGACTCCACGAGGATTTTTAAGGAATATTTTTTCAAGGACTTCTATACCAGATAAATGGGAATTTTTTAAAGAATATTTTTTGAAGTACCACCAGGACCAGGGAAATGTGCATTTTATTAAGAATGTATCTTTCCGGACCAAACCAATGAACTTGGATTTTTAAAGAATATTTTTTAAGAACCACCAGGACATGAGAATTGTGGGGTCTGTTAAGAATATTTTTTCAAAGACCAATTAATGAACATTTTTTTAAGGACACATTTTTCTAGGTCTAATAAACCTGGATTTTACAAAGAAGTCGTTTCAAAGGACCTTCGTTAACGTGGAGTTGTTCAAAGAATATTTAAAGGACCTCCATTAGTTTGGTGTTTTTCAAATACATTTTCACAGATAAATGTTGGGCTTCAAACGAGGAATTTTAAGTTGTTTTTTCAAGGACTAAACGACAGGTTTCACAGGATATTCTTTAAAGAACTATTCAATAGTTGATATAGAGTCTTTTAGATGTATTGTCTAAAAAACCCAGCATTTAAATCACGAAATACCTTTCTTTTAAAAAAGATTTACGTTTATTGATGAAAAGGTCCTTTAAAAAGTCCAAGGTTAATGTTGGAAAGGTCCTTGAAAAAATATTCTTTAAAAAATCCACGTCTATAGTTTTAAGGTCCTAGAAAAAATACCACAACGCCTTGGTGGATGGTCCTTGAAAAAAAAATTGTTTAAAAAATCCACGCCTTGTCTAGTCCTTGAAAAAATATTCTTTAAAAAATCCACGCCTTGTCTAGTCCTTGAAAAAATATTCTTTAAAAAATCCACGCCTTGTCTAGTCCTTGAAAAAATATTCTTTAAAAAATCCACGCCTTGTCTAGTCCTTGAAAAAATATTCTTTAAAAAATCCACGCCTTGTCTAGTCCTTGAAAAAATATTCTTTAAAAAATCCACGCCTTGTCTAGTCCTTGAAAAAATATTCTTTAAAAAATCCACGCCTTGGTGGATGGTCGTTGAAAAAAT